TTTTTTATTATGTCATATTAAAAGTCAAATTGACTAATATACAAAAATTATTTCTAATAATTTCTGACAAAATCTTTTAGGTATACATATATCTTTCTTAACATAAGTCAAATCTAATACCTCTATTTTTCTAACTTGATCATTGAAAGACCGCCGCTTTATGTGACCAAACAATCTAAAGTTATCAAAGGAGACTCTCTCTAATCTTTATCTTTCGCTGGAGCTGTTCCAACCTTCTCACATAATAAAAAATTTTCTAGTTCAAAAAAATTATACTAAAAAATTATTAAAAAAATAATAAAAAAGCTTGATACGTCCACCAAAAATTATCTTGATCAGGCACGAATCTCAATGCAAAATCAAGTTGGAAACTTCTAAAATTAAAATTGGGAGGATCCGAGCTCCGATTTAGCAAAATTGTAGTCTAACTGAGCATATTAGAAATACAAACCGAACAATACGAAATCCGACTCAATCCGAGCCCAAATGGGTCCAAATCAAGGACCCGAAGCGCAGTTGGAAGGTTCAAACCACGATTTGGGTTACCAAACGGTCTCCAAACATGACGTGCTTATAGTCGAATCGAGCGGCTCGACGAGACGAATACAACGAGCCCAAGATCACCAAATTCCGACTTTATTAAGGCCTTCTATTGTCTGACGAACGGTGCATGATCAAAGGATTCAATATCGGCCGTCCATCCAACCACTCCCCATTTACCCTTGATCTCTCACCTATTTACGGGCCATGCAACTCCAGAAATCTATAAATATACCCCTCATTTCTCTTAAGAAGAGGACCGAAGCAAGAGGAGAAGAAGAGAAGAGAAGGAAGGAGCTCCTCCTCGATCACCGCCGGACCATCGTCGGACCACCGCCAGAGCTTCGCCGGACCACCACATGAGGCCCTCACCTTCGCCAGAGGTCCTCACCTTTGCCAGACCACCATCTGAGGCCCTCACATTCGCTAGAGGCCCCCACATTCGCCAGAGGCCCTCACATTCGTCAGACCACCACTTGAGGCCCTCACCTCCTCCGAACCACCGCCTGACGTCGTTGCTCCGTGGGACCACCACTTGAGGCCCTCACCTCCGTCGGACCACCGCCTGACGTCGTTGCTCCGCCGGACCACCACTTGAGGCCATCACCTCCGCCGGACTACCACTTGAGGCCGTGTGCTCCACCATAACATCATCTGAGGCCCAGACTTCCGCCGGACCACTACTTGAGGCCTTGAGCTCCACCAAGCCACCACCTGATGCCCAGAGTTCTCCTAGAATACTACCGACTACGCTCCTTCAGACCTTCGTCACCTACTACGGTCCTTCCGACCTCCATCACCAGATAACGATCTTTCGAACTCCTATTTCCTGCTGACTACGATCCTCCCGACCTCCGTCGCCTACTTGGTCACTCCGACCTCCATCATCAGACTACGATCTTTCGGACCCCCCGTCTTGTGCCAACTACGGCCCTTCCAACCAAACAAACATGTAACTCCCACTATGTAATGCTCTCTATATGATGTACATTTGTACCATCAAGCCAAGGCCTTCTCTCAAGGAAGGGCCTCATTTGTAATCGACTGTAAATACTAGTGGATTCATTCAAACGGGTCACGCCCGTGGTTTTTTCCCCTTTTTAGGTGTTTCCACGTAAAAACTCTGGTGTCTCTTATGAACGCTACACCCTCTCTGTTATCTGATTACGTGCTGGATCTTCGTACAATGCTAAGACGTTAAACTATATATTTTATCTACCGCCGCGAATACTCTAGGACGCAACAAAGCTGTATCAAATAAATCCTAAATAAACATCTTGATAAATAAAATGTAAATATTAATTAATAAAAAATAAAAAATGCAAATATTAATTAATTAAACACATATTCTAATATATTTCAAAGAAATTTAAAAATTACAAAACCTTCTGAGGAAAAGTCACGAGTACATCTAATCAAATATTTACATAAAACTCCTCCACATTTCAAATTTTACAGTATGTACACACACACAACTTGACCTCCTCCACCGCGTGTCCCCAATCTCCGGAGAGAAAATCGTCCGGTTCCCCATAACTCGATCGGAGCGGATCAGTCAGCTCCGCACCCAACAACTAAGGTACATAGCCTCCCGCACTGAATCCTCCGCCTCAGCTCGTCCTTCCTCCCGCCAGCTTGCTCCGCCACGTACCCCGCCGGCGGCGAGCAATCCTTCCGAGAAAACGCCGGCAGATGCACGGCGCTCCTTCCCGCCCCGTAACGAAGCAATCTCGGCGCTCCACTTCGCGCCATGGTCGGCATGGCCGCCGCCGACAAACGCCACGGTCGCCGCCACCCAAACCCTACTCATTTATCCCACTTTCCAGTGAACGGATCGGATCGCCGGTGAAACTGCGTCGATGGCAATCAAGGAGTGGGCGCTTTCTTATAGAGCTGAAGGGCGATTGGCGCTTTTCCAAAATCCGCTTTTGTCGACTTTCTTTCCTGTTTCCGGTTTTCAAGCGAACGGTATGGTTTTTGATATATTCGCGAGATGAATTGGACGGTGATTAAGGGATTGAATTTGTGATCAAGTGGAGGAAGATGAGATCCTTATCTGGCTGATAATATCGTGAGAAATTCATTTTACGATTGATATATCGTGGAAGGGGAACACGCGGCAGGCTTATCCTCTAGCGGAGGAGACGGGGATGCCCCACCAAGTGGTGGGGTCTCTATGGGCCCATGATTGCTATTTTTTTTTTAATAAATTTACTTTATATGTCCTGTCATAATAACGAAAAATTGAATAAAAATATATATATGCTATTATTGTTTTAAAAATCTATATTCTAAAAATTATTGTAAATCAAAATACAAATATTTTTTTGAGTGAAGACTACTTAAAAGATTTTGTTAGAAATTATTAAAAATAATTTTTATTAGATTTAAATACAAATTTAACTCTTAATAAAATAGTTGAAAACAAAAATTACATAGCTAACCCCCATTGTAGTTGTTCTTGACTCGATAATTTGAACAAGTCTCAAATCATATTCGAGAAAAAGTTGAATATTGTTCAAATCTGTTTGAATCATACAAGAATTATGTTTGAATTGGGTTGAATTTTATTTGGTCTAGATTCAAACATAATTCTAGTAACATTCGAGCATTATTCGAATAGAATTTAACTAAATTAGATATAATAGAGTGCGTTTCAATTTCTATAACAGATTAGACAGTAATATTACGACAAAAAAAACAACAATATCAAGACTTTATCTTATTCCATGAGATCGGCTTCATGAATTTTTTTTCTCCGTTTTATCCTATTAAAAGTCAAATTCTCATTTAAATATAATAAAAAAAATATCATTTCTAATATTTTATAACCAAATCTTTGTAGGTCTACCTCTACAACTCTGCCTTTCTTAACTAGAATATTAATATATCAAAATACAATCTCAATAACTATAACACAATATATCAAAAAAATAGATACAACAATGCATCATATCATTGCAAAATAAACCAGTTATAATTCTTCAAGAATTACATTAAGGCTTCATTTGGGAAGCTTTCATACTGATTCCTAAAACAGTTTTCTAATATAAAATTTTCTAATTCAAAAAAATTTTATATTAAAAAACTGTTTTAGAAAATAACAAAAAAACTGTCTCAAACAAAACTTAAATCTAAACGGTTACAAAGTTCTTACAATAATAAGAAGATTAAAGAAAAAAATTATAATGAAAGTGATTGTAACTTTGTATTAATAACTCAATCCATATCCTTTCCACCTACATTGAATTATATCTTTCTCCAACTTTGAAGACCATCTATTTTCTTTGGATGCACTGTTTAGCTTCACCACCAATGAAGGCAACACAACAATTTTGTTGGTTTCATTTAAAACCTCATAAATATTTACATTCTTTATTGAATATCTATTTTTAATATATCTAAACTAATCATGCTTTTTATATATAGAATTTTGAATATAAGTTATAATAATTGGCACAGATAAATGGAGGCAACATGCTCAGCCGGTCAAAGGGGATTAATTACTTAACATAAAAGACAAATTTAGGAGGGAATTAGAATTTTTTTATTAAGGTAAAGATGGCTAATTTGATTGGGAGGGAATTAATAAGATTTATTTAAGAAAAGAGTGTTGATTTAATTGAAAGGAAATTAAGAATGTTTATTTATGGAAAGATGGCTGATTTGAATGGGAGGAAATTAAGAAGATTTATTTAGAAAAAAATGGCTGATTTGAAGGAGTATTAAGAAAGTTTATTTAGGCAAAGATGACTGATTTGAATTAGAATTTGAAAGGAATTAGCAAAAGCTTAATCATGACTAATTATGTGATTTTATTTGCTATAGTTTTTCCTTTAGAGTTGTTCCTAACAACACCTAGGATTTGCGAAGAACAGATCTACCTCTTAAATAGTTGATCAAAATTTCTACTGTGTTTTCTCATTACTATAGCTAATTTTCCCGTTTGGAGGTCAGATTCCTAATAAAGTTCAAGCCCAATTACAACTCAAAAGTATGAGAATATGGTGAAAACTGTACCAAAAATTTGCATAATGTTTTCATAGGTAGTGCTTCTACACTCTGAAATTAGAATATTACATTATTACCTGACAGCACAAGTAAGAGGAGCAAGTTATTTACAGTAAGTATATTATAAAAGTCCACTAATAACAAATTAAGAGCACAATTAACATCAAATATTTCTTTAAGCATAAGATACAGAAGTTTTACAGTAAAGGATAAGATGGAAGCACATATACAATAAGGTAGGCAACTAAGATCTAATGAAACAATTGCAATAACAAAGTAGTTTTCTCCTAATAATAAACAAATGCAAGTATTTGCAAAGATCATGGCTGATGAATGTCCCAAAAAATCTCAAAAGATTTATGCAATCATAGAATATCATTTACTTCATCAAGATTCTTAAATACCTCCAAGATGATCTTGCAAATAACGAGTGAGCAGATTTTTGTTCCTTCTACCATTGACATACTCTTCACACTGAATCAACTGCGCCTTCGACCTGCTGCCGAGCAAGGTATCTCTCCCTCCTTTCCTTCTGTTCCAAAAAAAAAAGCGCCTTGGAGTCGATATCAAATTATTATAATAAGGGAGATTTGCATACATACCACTATATACTATTCTATTTACATATTTAACACCTAAAATTTTAATATTACATGCATACCACTCATAGTTCATTTTCATATCAAATATGAGTGGTAGAAATGAAATATACGAGTGATAGTTTAGTAGGAAGAAAATATGAGTGGTATATTTGATATTAAAATAATATAAAATATATACATAGATATGAAGTGAAATGATTTACCCATTCATCTATGACGAGGCCTTCACCTACAATCCGTGGACCAGAGTCTTCGGCGGGTTTCTTGCGCGCCTCGAGAGCAGCCTCAGCCTCAGCTAATTGGCGCTTCAGTTTCTCCAATTGCTATGTTGGAATAGGAAAACCACGTCAATGAAAGAGAGAAAAGATATAGCAGGATAAAAAATGGCGAGAGTGGGAACTGGGAAGTTAGCTTACTGTGCTTGGGCGCTCAGAGTCCAAGAAGACAACCTTCAGAATTTGCTCAATTGAAACCTGATCCTTGTGCTCATCAAACTGTACTACGCATTAATCAAAATATACAGGGGGAAGGAACGTAAAATGACATTGGGAATTTTTTATCAAGAGTGACGTTAGAGAGTTATTTAGATAGAAGCGAAGCGCGAAATTTTTTGATGCAGTCCATAAATGTGAAGAAAATGCTCAGATGTTTGGCATTTTCTGTAAAAGGCCAAAAAATTTGCAAAAAAGTAGGGCATTTTCGCGTACTTACGCCAAAAGATTTAGCGTCTTCCACTCAACCTAGCTCTACCACAGTTCGATCCGCGCAACGATTTGAACTACGAGAGTTCGGCAAGTCAAGCCATCGGAGATGGTAAGGTAAATTTAAATAAATCATTATATAATTCATTTTGTTAAAATTAATAATAGATTAATATAGTAGTTTGAAATTAAATGCTAACTTAATTAATATTAGAATACTTTTTTATGTTAATAAATATTTTTTTCTTATTTCATAAAATAGAGAGTTATGTTAAACCCAAATTAATTTAGTACAATATAACTATTAATTTAGTAGCTGAAATAATTTATGTAGTATGCAAATTAAAAATTAAGTAATGTCTTATTGACTTTGTTTGATTAATTTATAAATAATAATGTTAAATTGAAATTGTTTTATGAAGAACATATGTAAATAAAGTTAAAGCTTAACTTAGGCTTTCAAATTATTTACATTTTAATCTACCCCATTGCATCCTCTGGATGCATTGATACTGTCATTCATATCTTGACTTGACTTCTGCTTGGTAGTCTAGCCATGCTCTTTTGGTCATGCTTTTTTAGCTGGGTTTCTCTTCAGCATAGTTATATTTTTTAACTGTGTCATCCACCCTCTTGGTTATGCTTTTTTCCTAAGAAAGATCATGAATTTAGTCATACTCTTTTGGCCATCCTTCTTTAATGAAATCATCTCATTTGACCATGCTACTCTTGATCTAGCCATACTTTTTTTATTAGATATTCCTTGAATTCTTACTCATAGTATAGCCATGCACTTTTACTTAAAACTACTGTTTGTTCAATCATACACTTATGGATGGGTCTCTTCCATGATCTGTTTATGTTCTTCCAATTAAATCTTTCTCTATACTTGTCATGCTTTTTTGACTTGGCTTATCCTTGACTTAGGCTTCGTTTGGGACAGCTTCTTTGTTGCTTTCTAGAACGGCTTTATAGTTCAAAAATTTCTTGAATTAGAAATTTTTGTATTGAAAAACAAATTTATAAAGCAGCAAAAAAGCTGTCCCAAACGAAGCCTTAATCATGCTCTTTTGGTTAAGCTGTTCCCTATTATAATTATGCTCTTTCAATCACACTAAAAGACTTGTTGCCTTTCCACTAGATTTTTTTTATGCTTAGCCATGCTCTTTTGGTCGACTCTTAGCCCAATCAAGCCATGCACTTTTGGCTAAGTCATTTCGTTGTTTAGCCACATTTATGGTAGGTTAGTTTCAATTTTGAGCATACATATGTACTCAAACTATTTACCCTTCTAAATAGAATGTCTCTATTTGGGCCTACCTCTTGGAGCTCTTTTTAAATAATCAAAACCCTTGTTTAGGTGTTTGCATCACATTCAAATGTCTGAACCTTTGAGCTTGATAATTATTGCTCTTAGCTATCATTCTCTTATATTAATGCATCTTCATATTTATGAGTTAAATCAACACTAACTAACTAGGTAGGCCTACCCTTACCTTTACCACTATAGATTGTAGCTATAATGAGTTGACTACTAATATTACATAACAATTCACCTTATAATAAGGATCTTCCTACCATTACTAGACCTCATATTTGAATTGCTGTCTTATAAATTATAGATGCATATCTATTAATTTTTTGAAATTAAATTTAATTCAAAAAATTAAAAAATATTAACATGACAAGCATTGGCTTATTTGGATCCTTGAGATGACATAGCTTGGCAGCCCATCACATTCATATGAGTTAACCTTTGGCGACACAAGAATTTTGTAAATACTTAAGTTTTATGATTGGGCAGAACCCCAAAGTTGTTTAGCCTAGGATAGAGTGCAGCTAGGTTGCTCTTAATATATAATTAATTTAGAGTGATTGTGCATCAACATATATCAACAAAGAATAAATGACAAATGAAGCATTGCCATTAAAAACTTGATTGAATGATTTGAATGTTTATTTTTTGTTGATATAAACTATTTGGTTTGATTCAAAAGAAATTTATGTGTAGTCCTAGAGGATGTTTGTACTTCAATTCTTTAAAAAAATGAACTTAAATTTTAATTAATTTAGAGTGCAGCTAGGTTGCTCTTAATATATAATTAATTTAGAGTGATTGTGCATCAACATATATCAACAAATAATAAAATGACAAATGAAGCATTGCCATTAAAAACTTGATTGAATTATTTGAATGTTTATTTTTTGTTGATATAAACTATTGGTTTGATTCAAAAGAAATTTATGTGTAGTCCTAGAGGATGTTTGTACTTCGATTCTTTAAGAAAATGAACTTAAATTTTAATTAACAAAATTTTCATGGTGCAATGAGGTACAAACAAAGATTCCTAACCCAAAAAACTATCCAAATTCAGGAGTACATCCAAGACCGGACGTCCATGAGCACTCAGAATAATTCAGATGGAAATGATAAATAACAAAGGGATTCCGAATCCTTATACCTTGTTGTATTTTATTTGATACAAAGATTTATGACTATTGTATTATGCAGAGCTTAGCTATCTGTTTTCTTTCTTCTTCTTCTTTTTTAAAAGTGTATTTGCAAGCCCAGCTGCACCGCTTTTATTCTTTCAACTCTTTCTAGCTTCACGTACTTTAATTCTTACTAGTTGGCTTGTAGGCTGCCTACTTTTGACCTTTTTTTGTTGTGTAGTTTGTCTAGAAATCAAACAATGCAGTAGACTTTAAGCAAAATATTTATTATCAATTATAATAAATTGATAATCAATTTAAATTTTTTACGAAAGTATTTTTTTAAATTAAATTTGCATAACTTTTGATCCAACTTTTTAACCAAAGAATGTTCTCTTTGCATCTCTTTGATGAGGGACAGAGTTTAGCTTGTCAAAAATTGAATTACCCACCTAATTCATATTCATAATATGGTTCCTCCCAATTAGATCATATGACTTTGCATTCATATTATGTCCTTAAGGATAGGGCTGCTAACTTGACGACATAATCTAAGTGGATGCCTCGGATGCTAAATAGTGGCTGCTCTAATCTAAACAAGATTGCAAATCCAATAGCTTGGCTCTAGTTGGGCATAACTAAGCTATCTCATTCATCTATTTTCATAGACATTTCTTATACATTTAAGGATTGTATGCCGTGAATTTGTTTTTGGTCTACCACATAAATTTAGTTAGTCTAGGAATTTGTGTGTTCTTCATTGATTTGAGATCAAGGGACTTACTTTAGACACAGATCATAATGGTTGATAGACTGTCTCACAGTTAGACTGGGTCAACTACCTTCACAACTAAGTGATTTCAAACTTGATAATATAGGATGAAGAATCCATGAAATTCTTAGATTATTTTTACTTTTTTTTTTTTTGAATTCCTTGTCAACAGCCATCAACTCTTTGAGCCATTTCATGCTCCTTTTGACCCTTTGGTTATTTATTGATTACTATTATATAAATTTTCTCTGTGGAGTGATAGTTGCCTCACTTGGTTACAATGATTCATCCTTTGCCTTGTCAATTGACCCGCCTCAAAGCATAGAATATCCTCTTTGGATAACAATCTTTTAATCATATTCAACCTTTGATGTTAACTCAGACAAATCAAAATAAGAACATGTTTTTTTTATCCAGATTATCTTTTGGAGATGTTATGGAGCGCAATTAACTTTATAGTGCATAAAATTGTTGTCCTACCACACTGAACATCTTCATTTATCTCTTTTTGTGGAATCTTTTACATTTAAAAAACACTTTCACATCATCACATTTTCCCCCTCGAAACCCGCATACACTCAATTTTTCATGTTTCCCTCCTAAAAGCCTATTGCTAGAAATTGCATCTTCAACCAGCTGAACAAAAAACAATAACTTAAGAAAATCATCCTCTAATAGAGCAAATCCTTGACTCCTGCCACATAACGAACATGGTTGATCCGAGACACAAAACCTCAACTAATGGGATGGCCTTCCACAGGGGGGCGTAAGCTCGATACCCAAAGATGAGCTCAAGAACACTTTTCTTGATCTTGACCTTGAGGGCAAGGTTGATGGATAGGCTGAGTATGTGGGCTCCACTAGTGTGGGTAGCGGGCAAGGAGAGAGGGGGGCTCAAAGGGGATTAAATCTATCTTTAATTACTTATTATAGTTGGGAGGGAATTAGGAAGATTTATTTAGGAAAAGATGGCTGATTTGAATTCAGATTTGAGAGTGAATCAAGAATGTTTATTTAGAGAATTAGCGGTGATTTGAGTCCAACGTCGGGAGGGTAATAGGAAAATTTATTTAGGGAAAGTGGGTTGATTTGAATTTAGATTTACAAGGAAATTATAAATATTTGATTAGGCTTAATTAGGTTATTTTATTTTCATGATGTGAATTGTGTTTTGCTGTGGTATTTTTGGAGGTGTTCCTAGCAACGTCTATGGTTTGTGGAGAGTCAATCTACATGTCAAATAGTAAATCAACTTGTATATTGATTTGTTGTGCCGATATATCATTCTTTCTCGCTGATTTTTGCTGTGTTTTATCTTCGTTATTGTGATTTTTGTTGTGTGAAAATCGGATTCCTACCGAATTAGTATTAGATCACCTTTTTTGGGACCTATAGAGACTAAGAAGGTTGATGCATTGGAGGAGAGGCTTGATGGGGAAGTTGGAAAACTAAAATCTGAATTTAAAGAGTAAATTTGAGAAATTGAGGGCAGATTTTCGAATCTTGAAGGGATGGTGAAAAGGATGTTAGAGTTTTAAGCCAAAACTACATCATCGGAGGCAAGACACCGTTGACGGACAAGAAAGTG